GACTGTGAGGAGCTTATTGCAAAGGTGTGAGAAAGGGAAACAAAGGCAGGGTTGTGCAGCACCCCCTCCCCGCCAGGCCACAAGGAGGGCTCTCTGCAGGCAATGACACTGTCACACCTCATTTATTTAACTGGGGTTTTGAGTAACTTGGAAAACTAATCACCCTTTCTAAAGTCTACCATTGCCACAGGCCTGCCTCCACAGCCATCCCCTGAATGGTCCTGCTTCAAGCCCCAGCGCCCTGCCTCCTCCTGTTCCCTCCAAACAATGGACACGGTCAGGGAGATGTGTGTGTCAAATCTTACACTACTGCAGCTTGTGCTTGTTGTGGGGATAAACAGAGACATGTCTCTAGACCTGTCAATCCAGCACCTCAATCTCACCTGCATTGTTTTCCCTTTCAAAGGAAAATTAAATTACAAATGCCAAATGACATTCTGCCTGTGTTTGGTAGCAGAGGGAGAACCAGCAATGTGCGGCTAGTAGACCTACAGGTTGCACCTGATAGCACAGGGGTAAAAACTGGGGTCTAACATCTATTGGGTGCTGCTTTAAGTAATACTACAGATTATGTTTTTCCTGGTGAATTAGGTATGTCCTACTGAAGTGAAGCATTTGGGTCAGAATTAGTCACTTCAGCTGCAAAGTTCTGCAGCCCCAAGGAGGTGGGAATGCTGGCATGCCTTCACCTCACCCTGGGATACATGGGAGATTTGTGCAATTTTGTGTCATATATTTTCTTGCTGCCTCTTGGTCATTCACATTAAAAGTGATAACACAGCCTCTAGCACAGCACAGGGGTTCGAGCTAATAGAGTTTCTGTGCCATTGGATCATACAATGGGAGCTTTCAGTGCTGTGGGAGCCTGTGCTAATTCAGAAGGCTGATAGGAGCTTATTCTCAGTCTTTCCCCTGGGGAAACCTCCAACACCTGACCCTAGGGGCTCCAACAGCCAGTCCCTAAAATACTTCATACTAGCAAAGGCAGGAAACGTCCATCTGAGCTAGCTTGTCAGCAGGGCCGGCTCCAGGCACCAGCGTAGGAAGCTGGTGCTTGGGGCAGCCAATTCAAAGGGGCAGCACTCCGTCCGGTATCGGGGCGGCACGTCCAGGTCTTTGGCAGGAATTCAGCGGCGGGTCCCTCATTCCCTCTCTTCCTCTTTGAGCTGCCGCTGAATTGCCGCTGAAGAAGCGGCGCGATTGAGCTGCCGCTGAAGTGCCACCGCTCGTCTTTTTTTTTTATTTTGTATTTTATTTTTTTGCCGCTTGGGGCAGCAGAAAAGCTAGAGCTGGCCCTGCTTATCGGGGCCATGATTTCTCACTATGGGTCCCAGCCAGGTCTAACCATGCCCAGCTGATGTTAACTTCTCCGCTTCATTCTGCAAAGCCTCACTTTCCTGGGCTCTGACAGCAGCTGAGCAATGAAAAGGAAGATGCCCTCCCATGCTGCAGGGTAAGATAAGGAGTTTCACCCTGATACACCCTTGCTGGGTTGCCAGTGGAGATATCTGCAGGCACCTGTTCTGCTTTGTACTGGAATACATTAGGCTGTTTCCTTAAGACTCTGGCTGGGTATTGGGATACTTAGAGAGAGGGAAGGAGTAGCAAAGAGCTTGGGAATGGGCTCTTGTAAGTGGGATACTTCCAGGACTGGGTAATTCCAGACAGTGCATGTATCACTAACTCAGCATTACTTTGGTTTGCATGATAAAACAGACACACAGTAGGACAGACGCTCCGTGAGGCCTCTGTGGGGTTAACATGGAGCAGCTAGTCCTGATGATTTTGCATGCAGAAGTGAATTTGCTTCTTTTGGGTGTTCTGTGTTGACCCACATCATGTGTGATTATGTCACAATGTGTCCTATTAGACATTCCGATTTGGGTTGTGAAAGTGCTCACCTCTTCCATTGAACTGCACCTTGAATTGAATGGGTGATAGAGCATGGGATACCAGGAATCAGCTTTCTCAGCAGAGGGTGGCTGACTGTGGAATTACCTCTCAGAGGAGATCACAGTGAACCCAGCCTTCAGCGAAAGTCTTTCAAATTGTACATATGGCACACTTATCTAATCTACCTTCATCCTCCCTCTCCCTTCCATCCTAGTGTTTGTTATAATTATTTCTTGTGTCTTGTTTCAGTTTAGACCACGGTGGCCAAACTGTGGCTCGCAAGACACATGTGTCTCTTTTACTGTTAAAGTGAGGCTCATGGAGATCCCCAGGCCCCTCCTCCCCCATTCTCCACTTACCAAACAGGGGTGGAGGAGCTCGGGACCTCTGCCTTGCGGTGGGGTGGTGGGATAGGGGCTTCTGCCCAGCGGAGGGGGCGGGTCTCAGGGCTTCAGCCCCACAGGGCACACCTGCCAGGACTCAGGGCTTCAGCAGGAGCGGGGCTGCAGCCCAAGCCCTGTCAGGCACCTCCTGTGGGGATGAAGCCCTGAGACCCAGCAGGTGCGCCCCAGCTCTTGAACTTCTGAAGATTGTCGTATGCAGCTTGGCGCATCAGTAAGTTTGGCCACCCCTGGCTTAGACTGTAAGCTCTCTGGGAAAGGGTGAATGTCTTCCTATGTGTCTGTGCAGCCCCGCACACAAAGGGGTCCTTTTCCTAAAGGGGGTCTTGTGGTGCTACCATTGTATAAATAAATACTAATAATATCCTCTCTGTACAAATGAGGGCTGACAAAAGAGTAAAAGATTCTTGTAAAATTCCAAGTAAGGCAACTGAGTGTAGAAGAACAAGATTCATTTCAAGCACACACAAAGATTTACCCAGTTCTCATTGAACAACATGGGAATCTTTCTATTAAACTTCAATAAGTGTTGGATGTGGTCCTTAATATGTGTCTTAATTTTGTATTCGATGCCTAGATATTATAGTGATATGTGCACTGGGGATGCTGGTTTCTTGCTGTTGTTGTCATGGATTGTATGGAAAATGGGAAATTGACCATTTTCTGTGAAAAACATGAGATCTCTGTTTCCAAGAAACTTTTCACCAATTTCCGCTTAATGTGCATATACCTGAGAGATGGGGATGTGGCAGAGTGAGCAAGGAGACAAGTGGATATGGAGCCTTAGAGGGAGCCGTCTGGCCTGCTCTTCGGTTCTCAAACTGAGCCTGCAGACCAGACCACTGAGGGCAGTGGGAAAGAAACAACGGGAAAAAGCAAACAGTGAAGCTTAGGAGGAAAGGGGACTAGTCCCACAAAGAGGAAAGCTTTATTAACAAATCATTGGAACAATTTACCAAGATTTGTGGTAAATTCTCCATCACTGATCATTTTTAAATCAAGATTGGATGTTTTATTAAAAGATCTGCTCTAGGAATTATTTTGGGGAAGTTCTATGGCCTGTATTATCCAGGAGGTCAGACTAGATAATCACAATGGTCCTCTCTGGTCTTAGAAACTATTAATCTATTTTCTCTGGTGGGGAGGGGCATCTCCATTAGCCAGTTCTTGCGGGGTATTTCTTCTCCCGCACTATTGCATGATTTTGACTCCTTTGGGGCAGGCAGACCTTGCCTATGCTGTTTGCACTACAGGAGTTGCTGCTGTTGATAAGCCTGATAGACTTCAAAGCCAGAGTTTATGGCACATGTGGAGTATGAATGCTGAGGCAGGCACAAGCGGAGCCTAAGTTACAAGCTACACGCAAGCTAGCCTTTGATTCTGAGAGTTTTGCAAAGTTTAGCTCTAACCAGCTAAAAGATGAATGTAAAATCCTCATTTAGGGGCGTACAGGAACATTTCTAGCACTGGTTAAAGCATTGTTTGGTACGTATTGGCAATTAAAATACATTTATAAAATGCAGTGTTGCCCATGAGATATGCCCATCTGAACCAAGAGAAATGGCATGTTTTCCATGAATAAAGGATTCCACCTAAACAACAGGTAAATGGATGTAGAAGATTAAATAGATTTAACAGTGAAGCAGAAGAGGAAGAGGCCATTCTAACTAACAATGAGCTACCTCTTATTAATATCATTCAGAATAAAGTGTAAGGCAGGATTGGTAATATCCACGAATCTCCCCAGTGGCTGGAACTAGTGTAGATTTTCCAGGAGTCATACGCATATGGGTATTTTCAAACTGGACCACTCCAAAGGTCCATCAAGCCAACTCTCCAGTCTCCAGCAGTGACCAATGCTGGACGCCTCAAAGGAAGGTGTAAAATCCCTATAATGATTATTATTGTGCAGTATTGTCCCAGAGGTAAATTCCTTCCTGACTCCAGCTGGTGAGCAGTTTACATCCTGAAGTGTGAGGATCAAGAGCCCGGGTAATTTTATCTTACCTAGTGTCACCGCAGGTGCTATTCTGATTCATATAAGTGTGCGTGTGTCTTTAATACCTCTGTCAATTGTTATTTGTTGTGGGGTTGCTCACAAGGGCTAGATTTCATATCCTGGTTTGTTATACTGGCTGCCGATGCTGGTTTGCTGTTGTAGAGTTTCTCATTAGTGTTGGGCTGCACAATATAGTTTGTTATTGTAGGGCTACTTACCAGGAACCAAGCTACCAGTGTTATTTTGTTATTTGTAGGGTTGCTTATGACTCATGGTCATAAGAGGAAAAAGCATTCCCACACTTATTTTTAAAGAGGAAACAAATAATTTCACGAATTTTGCAAACAGGTGAAATTTTGAACCTACCAACCTTGACAGTGTCACTAAAGCCTCTAATGAATCATGTCTAAGGACCTACAAGTAGAGGACAGTAGCCTATATGTTCATTTGCTTTACTCATGTAGATGTTTTAGGTTGTGAATTGAATTTCACACTAACATCTTTCAGTTTGCTTTAAATGAAACAGTTAATTCAATAAGTAACCCTGATGTATTAACAAATATTTATTGAGATTAAACAGTGAGATAAGAGCTCACCATTCATCTGCCTTTAACTTGCACTAAGCCCCAAGATTATTAAATGGTTTTAATATACATGTTTTTGCTGATGTGATGTTGTGTCTTGCGGTGTCTTGTTTTTTCCCTTAGGGTGTCTACAAGGCCTGGCTGTGCTCCGAGTATTTCAATGTGACACAACAACAGTGCCAACACCGGATTCCATGCAAGCAATACTGCCTGGAGGTGCAGACCAGGTGCCCCTTTGTGTTACCTGACAATGACGAGCTGATCTATGGAGGATTGCCTGGTTTCATCTGTACGGGTAAGAAGGTCATGGAAGTAGAATAGGTGTCCCCGTAATGACTTCTTGTCTCCTGCCCATTGTACATGTCAGGAAACGGAGGAAATACAAAAAGACAGGCGGACAAATGTGTGGGATGGATGGGGAGGATTTTCAACTCACGTTTGAGTAATAAATTCCATTTCTCTAGAGCCTTTCACCCTGAAGACTCCTATAGCACTGTACCATGGGCCAAATCTTGTGTAAGGACTTCAGGATTTGGTCATATATATAAAATAAATAAATATATAGGAAGTACATTATCCAGTATTGAAATATTTCCATCTCTGAGGTGAAATATAGCTGTTCAGCAGCCTCACAGCAACACTACCTGACAGTTTAGGGCAGGAAGTGAAAAACAGTCCCACTGCTAACTGAAACGTCAAGGGTCTATTTAGTGAGGCAAAATGTGACTGGGTTAAAGTTTGACCAGCTCATTGACATTTAACTGCTACAAAAGATGTCAGAGGATTTCCTTTTTTAAAGTGTGTTTAGTATTCATGGCAGGTGCTCAGAGAGTGAAGTCCTCTATTTATCCATCCATACAACAGGTACAGTATAGTTAGGGGCAGTACAAACTTTCCATCCTGCTACCTACCTAGCACTAGGTTTTCCTGGCAGTTCTCCCATCCATGACTGAACCTGGCCTGATCCTATAGTTTGTAAGATCTGATAAATACACAGCCTGAGATGTTCACAGCTTTGTCCCAAAATATCATTACACATGGTCCTTGGATCTTGGAATAAAGTGGACCTGGACCATGGTTGCTTTTTCTTTGGAGGAATGTGGCCTAGGGACTTAGTCCCAGAGAAAATCTGCCCAAATGAAGGTGCTTGGGGTGCCAGTCCTTAGGCTGAAAGTTGTCCAGGAGCAGGCAGCCAACCAGAACTGAAACCCTTTTTTCCTACTGCAGGTGGATTTTCTGGCAGGCCCTATGGCTTTACTCTCTATTGGACTTCCCCTGCACGTTCACTGATTCTCACTATCTGTTGTTATGTTTTGCCAGGGTTGCTAGAGAACCAATTATCCAATGAGGAAGCAAAGTGCTGCGATGTGCAATGGGACTCTTGTGACCACCCACCAGACAGCAACTACAATGCGTCCCCCAAATCCACAGAGTCGGAGTCATTCCATTACCACCATCATGACCCCCACCTTCATCACCACCAGCAGCATCACTATCACCTCTACCACCACCACCAGTACCACCAACCCCACCCACCATCTTTGCTGCCTGTCTCCGCAGGGTCTCGCCTCAGCAACAGCAAAATCAGACTGTGCGTCCTGGTCCTTATGCTTCTCCACACCATGGTGTCCTTCTCAAGCGTGCACAGCAGTGAGGGGACTGCCAGCAGGGGGCTGAGCTTGGAGGCCCTGCCTGCCATGGATGAGAGCATAACAAGAGATGAGTGACCCAGAGGGGAAAGGAAACGTCCAAGCAGAGTGCCAGCTCTTTTCCTGCCAAGGGGGGCACACGCTATTCCTCCAATGGGAGGCACAGGATTGGGGGTGATGCACACACACACCCCTAGCCACACCCCCAAGAGCTGCTCGCCACGGGGCATCCCCGTGATGAAGAGTCTTTAATGCGCACAGGGCTGCAGGACTCAGCTTTGAGAAGGGTTCAGTTATCAACAGCCTTTCAGCTGTGTGCATCCTGCCTGGGAGAGGCTCTGGGAGCTAGCGCAAAGAGGTATAGAAAAGGGGAGGGGGGCTGGGATGGGAGAGGGTCCCTTTGAAAGAGTTCTCCCCATGGAAATGCCACTGCTCTCCCTGCCACCTATGAGGTGTCTCATGTGGTGCCCCTATTTTTTCTACCAGCTGGATAATTCAGTGCAATGGGTTCAAGAAATTGGTTTATCCATTATTCCTTCCCCCCCCCTCCCAGTCTTTAAACCTCACCATCGTATATCGCCAAAGCTGCTAGGTGGCATATAGAGCAACTCAAACACCTCAAAACAAACCCCAGCTAACTTCTCCTCAAACCTTTCCCTGCTGAGGGACAGTCTTGGGTCCTTAGTGTGACCTGGTGACCCCTCTGTCTGGGTAGCATGGTGTTAGGCTCACTGTCTTGCCAACAGACAAGATCCATTTCTAAGGTTAAGTTGTTGGGGTGATGTATTACACGGCATTGTGTGTGCCATTTGGGGTTGTGTTTCTTACCTCAGTCAGCCTTTCCTTGTCTGTGCCACTCTTGTCCTTCAATACACTGAACATAAAGAACATCCCCTGTGGATGTTGGCAGTAAGTAGAGAGATGGATGTAGTATGGGATGGAACAGGAAATTATATTCCCAGAGTCTTAACACTTCACTCCCCAATGTGTCCCCAGAATTTTCTTAAACTCCTGTACTTTGTTTTCTCCAACAGCTTGTTTGAGTTTGGAGAGGGCAGCAGTTAGGGAAACAAGAATCTGCAAGAGGCAGATGTCACATACTTAGTGCTTAGGCTGAGGGAGATGGAAGTGTCATGTCACAGTGAGCAGCTCTGCAGGGGCAGAGCTGACTGCACTAGTTTGCAGTGGGGCCAGGGATGGTAACAAATGGATAAAAAGCCCCAACTTGCACCCTCTAAAGTTTCCCAGTTACGAACTCTTACAGCATGTGGGAAGAGGACTGGAGAAATCCAGCCCATAGGGAAATAGTTTCCCAAATAAAATGCCACCAGCTAATAAAGCACAGGTGAGGGAGAGAGGTGTCATGTGCACTATGTGCAGCATTGATCATACGACTCCTGGAAGTCCTGCTGGAACAGCCACACTCAGCCTGGCAAGATGTTGATTGGCAACAGCTTAGACTGACTCACCTTTATGTCCAAACACGGTCACAGACTGGAATTCAGCCCCATCCAGATATAGGATCCCACCTCTAACTCTGACCTTTCAAATTCTCCAGCCCGAGGACTGAGATTTATACTCATAGGGAATGTTGTAATTTGAGGCATGTGGCACCCCTTCTATGTCCCTTTATAGCTGATATTTCCTCCTGCAGAGCCCACGTTCAGGGTGATTTCTCTCATACTCGCAGTGATGTTACTGTAATGGGCTGATGATATCACTAGGAGGAGTGAATGACATTTTAGGAAGAAATGCCTGGGGTCCTGGCTGGAAACAAAGACAAACTAATCAGGAATGAGAGAGGAGTTGAGGGTCAAATATTAGTGAGGACAAAGCTCACTTTGGAGGGGAAAGGCAAGATGAACTTGTTGCCCAACATCAGTATGAAGTGAAGCACAAGGAGACAGAAAAGAATGTTGTGCACAGTTAGATGCTCTCCCTCTCTCCAGGTCATAGTGACCGGGAGCATTTATTATTCATCTTGCATGGCTCATTTAGGGAAAAATTAAGATCTAGATCCCACCACCTGAGACAGCATGTTCAGTGGCTGAGTAGTTGTAACTAGGGGTCAGGCAAACCAACTAAAATCAAAATTAGACTGGTTCTTCTGTCAAATCTCAAACCAAGCCCAGACCTGTCTGAAGGTCAAAGAAATTTCATAAAGTTCAGGATTTATAATACTTTTGTATTTCCTGGCTTCTGTTGAATTGAAGCAGAAATAACCAAAACACCATGAGAAAAGCTACTTCCTGCCTGGCTGGAAGAAGGAAGTACCAGAAATCTCATGGGAAAGTTGGATTTTCTGACATTTCCAGCCCATTTCCAGACCAAAGAGGATCGGAAAAGCAGCTGAATGTTTGGATTCTTATTTGACTTGAACCTCAGAATTTTGGATGATGTTTACATATTATTATTTCCCATGCATTACCAAAGTCCTGAATGCATAAAGCCTGTGAACACCATTCTCATAGCGCCAAACAGACCCATTGGCTATCGGGCTAAAACTGTGTAATAGGGCTAATACAACTAGTTTTCAGGGCAGATCCTGGGGACACTTCTCAAGACAGATCCTGTTGCTGTTTGCACCCACTGTGGCTAGGACAGACCTTGTGTGAATATTCACCACAGCTACCATGTATTTGCAGTTTGGTTCACTCTGATGTAAGAACAGATATGTGCAACAGTTTAGCAAATATGAATCAGACTTTTTTGATCTTGGGATTGTTTTGCCTTGGCATTTGAAACCAGCCTTTGTGGTAGCTATGATGACTTGAGCAGATGACTAGGCCAAAGGAACATGCACAAGCATGTTTTTGTATCAGGATAACAGACTCTGACTCATTTTTTAAGGAAACTAAACTTCACAGGAAGTTTTAAGGACACTAAACTTGTTAAGGTTTGAGTGGCCACCTAATTCCAAGTGTCTACTTCAGAGATAGGATGAGTCAATCTTTAAACCAGGGGTGGGCAAACTTTTTGGCCCGAGGGCCACATCTGGGAATAGAAATTGTATGGCAGGCCATGAATGCTCACATAATTGGGAGGGGGTGAGGGCTCTGGAGTGGGGCTGGGGATGAGGGATTTGGGGTGCAGGAGGGTGCTCCAGGCTGGGCCCAAGGAGTTTGGAGGGTAGGAGGGGGATCAAGGCTGGGGCAGGGGGTTGGGGCGCAGGGAGAGGCTCAGGGGTGCAGGCTCTGGGCGATGCTTACCTCAAGCATCCCTGCACACTGCCCCATCTGCAGGCACTGCCCCTGCAGCTCTCATTGGCTGTGGTTCCCACACAATGGGAGCTGCGGGGGTGACGCTTGGCGCGGGGGCAGAGTGGAGCCCCTGGCTGCCCCTACGCTTAGGAGCCGGAGGGGAGCCATGCCACTGCTTCCGGGAGCCATGTGGAGCGGTCCCCGACCCTACTCCCCAGCTAGAGCACCCAAGCGGGGCAAGCCCCAGACTCCACTCCCCCGTGGGAGCTCAAGGGCCAGATTAAAATGGCTGGCGGGCCGGATCTGGCCCATGGGCCATAGTTTGTCTACCCCTGCTTTAAACAATACAATAGGCTGGAAAAGAGCAGGCCAGTTTGCACATCAGCACATGATCCTGAGTCACCAAACTTGTTCAATGTCTGGTCTGATTCTGTTCAGGTCAGACACCAAACAGAAAACTCTGAGTACTGCTCAGCCACAGGTGGGCATAGTGGCCTGTTTAAATTTTTTTTTTCTTGTCATTTCTGCTCTCTGTGAATGCTAGGTAATCCCATAAAGACTGTGGGCCTGAATCTCATTTATACTAAGGCAATCTAAAGGGACCATAAAATGGGTGTAAATGTAATTATGCCCACCTTAAAGCCCCTTTACCTTGCCAGAGCCTTTTATACTGCCAGGACAGTGTGAAGGATCCTTAGGGTAAATGAGAATCAGGCCCTACATGTGTCATATGATAACAGGAAACCACATATTGATATAAGGAAATTTTGTGTAGCACTGTGTTATGTGACTTGTTTACAGTCCCCCAAATCTGGGGCTACACAACCTGTCAGAGCCTGAATCTGAAGAAAAGAGAGAATCTGCCACAGAAGCTGCCTACATTTTCAGGACAGGCCTTTATCCACCAGTTCACAGCTCAGTGCCAAGTGTAGAAATGCTGTCTGACTGAACTAAAATAGAATAGATAGGGTTTTGTGGACATGGAATGGGGCTAGAGGAGGTTGGGTAGGGTTTTGTTGGAATACACTATATGCTTCAAGACATTTTCTGACCTTAATCAATATGAATTGATGAACTGCACCTCTTTTACAAAGTACCTTGGCACCTGTTTCAAGATTGTCATGGTTTGTGACTTAGATCAAGCCACTGTCCTTTCTCCATTTGCTTTATTCCTTCTATCCACCACCCACTGTAACTGTCCTGAAACCGCTTTCTAGTTTCCAGATGACATAGTTACTGTGAGAAATGCCACTGCCCTTTGATTGTAATACCATCTTGTTGGCATAGAATGCAGATGCATTCCTATTTGGTCCTTGATGACCAATGCTAAATCAGAGCAGAGTTCTGCAAAGATACCCTCTTCTGAAGGAGAGTGGAGTGACCATGTAGCAATGTGAGCAAATAGAGTTCAACCCTCTCATTCTTTCACCTTTAGTACACAAAATATGTTCCAAATGTTCCTTATTTACTTGGTAAGTGCTGATAGTTTGCTTGCCTGGATTGGGCAGGTCATTTACTACATCCCAGCAAATGATTTGAGAACAGTGGGAGCAGAGGGGTGCTAAGCCATTTTCAAAATCTAGGTCCAATTGTAGGTGTTGAGACTTTCGACAAACCTCGCCATAAGTGTAATTAGTAAGAAACCTACAGGAGCATGTAACTACCATGTAACTGCACAATTTTAGTCTATTGAATGCTAGGCAGTTACACAGTAATTAAAGAGGCCTTGCAGCATAGCTATGCCGTGGAATTAAAATGAGATCCAAATAATTTTTCAGGTTATGGTCTCCCATAAGATTCACAAATAAAAGTCTACTATTCCACCAACAGGAAGGCCATCCCATCTGCCTGGCATGAGGGAAATTCAGGGAAGCCTGG